AGTATATGACCCAGTAGACTCCATAATCTGGAGACTTGAATCATCAACTTCGTGACGATTTTTATCACCTACACGGAAGACCTAAATATAGATACGAACCGGTATCAGATGCGGTGCCAAGAATCACCTCTTGGGCACTTCCAACACTATTCACGCCAGGTGGGACAATCTTTTGGTCCAAAATCAAAGTTCTGCCATCATAGACTGCTCTTATCACACGCTTTGGCCTCTTCTCGTTTGCCATAAGCCTCAGAGCTGACACGCGAGTGACGAGATTGCAACACTCAAGCTCGAAGAAAAGATGTTTGTTTATTCATGTTTCGTCAGAACAAATTTGAATGTCTAGCATGGCATTCGCAAAATCACAACTGCCAAAATCAAAGAAACGATTCTACAACTGACGACCGTTGAACCTTGATGCAGACTCAGTTGACTTGCAGGGCTGTATGCATCTTTCGTGCCTGAATCTGCATACCTTTCGTAATTTATCTGCAAGTGGTGAGTCGAAGCTCACCTATTGTGGTCGTCCTCTTGCAGATCTTCCCCTGGTACCTTAAACTGGTCACAGTGCTGAGCAAATCACAACGGGCTTTGCTCCGGAAATGGCATGGCCTTTAGGCCTGGATCAAACTTTCTGGAATTCCAGTCATCGAAATTGAGAATATGAATTAACAATAATAGACTAGACTGCCCTATTCACTCGTGAACGTGGCGCATCCCTACGATCCTCGAAGTTCGGCGCCTCCGCTCTCCACTGGCAGGAAGATCGTGCCCCACAAAGCCGGTGCAAGTTTTAATCTCGATTCATGACAAATAACATTCTTCGTATGCTAAGAGTACAATGCCTTCATGTGCTCATACCTAAGTAGTCAGTATGGCCAGAGCTCAGTGGCTCTTGACTCTCGGGCCGGAGGGACAGTATCACAGCCTCAACATGGCCAACCTCTGTAGCCACTAGCTTGATTGGAATACGATGACAATCTCAGGGAATTGAATTTCGATTCTATTGTCGTTGGTAAAATGTGAGTCATGGCCGTGAGCTAGGGGAAAGGTATGATGTCGAAGAACGATCCGCCGGAGGACAGCTCAGCACGGTGGCTTGGGTACTCTTGGATTACTGAAGGGGATGGTAATACCTCCCAGCCGTAAATATTAGAAAATACCAACACATGGAGATTAGTTTTTACTGTCGGGTCTCAATACAAAGTATCGGATGTTGGTGTTACGGAGCACATGAATTGGAAGTTCGAAATCGGATTCTCCATCAAATATAAAGCAATTTAAATACATCTAGGGGGTCATGGCTTTTTAGGAAAGCCAGAAAGCGATATGTAACAAAAAAGCAAAGAAATAAAAGAAAATCCAGGATATCACAACATGCTCTTATCGAGAAAGCTGTGCCACTCATAGCGCTCCTTCTCAAAGATCCACGTTTTCATTGCCATTGCACTGCTGCATCATAAGCACACGACTGACTTCAACCTGTGGCTGTTTCCATGTAGGATACCACTGGTCCCTGGCATCCCAAAAGTCATTCTTGGCTGTAGGTGAGGCATCATACCAGGGCTTGTCCGACTTGCCGTCTTGAAACCAACCATTCGTACCGCCAACAGCCAGATTGATAATAAGGTAAAACTCTTGGTCAAACGGTGCATTGACATCGCCTGCACCAGCCCAGGGATCATCGAGTCGGGTACCGTTCTGATCCACGTCAGGGAACCCTCCTCGTTGGTACATGGGTTTCTTGAAGTTGGTGTAAGTGACTTGAAGAAGACGGGTGTTGACATAAGTGAAGAGATACTTTTCAGACCACTCCAAGCCAAACATGTTGAAACCGGCACTGTAGGTTGTATGTAGGGCCTTTCGTTTGTTGTTGGTCTTCCACCAACCATCGTTGGCAGAATTGGGCCCCCAATGCAGAGCCGAGGAAACAATGTCATTTCCGCCTTGTTTATATGTCCAGTTGTTTCCGCGCGACTCAATGATGTCCATTTCACCAGAACGAGGCCAGGGGCCATACTTGCTTGTCCTGGGAAGCATCCAGATAGCGGGCCAGAGCCAATCGCCTTCAGGGAGCTTGGCAGTAACCTCAATGCGGCCATACTTGATGTTGGCGCCCTTCTTGGTATTGATACGCCCAGACCTGACGGGGGGGATGATGGTGTTATTTCCATTGGTCAGATTGGTGGCAGCAACGCAGTTGGACCAAACTTTGGAAGTGCAGGTGCCGTCTTTGAGAAGATTGATGACATTGTTCTTTTGCAACAGCTTAGAGTCTTGCAGAGTCGCCTTGACGATCAAATTGCCATTATCGACGTAGACATTCTCATCACCGCCGGTAGTTTCCTCGAACTGGCCATTCCTGTGGGTGTCAGTACTAAAGTACATGCCGAGTCTTTGAGAATCGAACATACCCGTATCCGCCGACTTCAACTTCCTTAGTCCAAATACTCGGGTTCAGACCTTGACTAAAGTCCTCATCTAGGACAAGGCAGTACTTGTTCTTGACCACACTTCTGACACCGTCCCAGACGAGGAAGCCGGATCCAACGAGGCCGAGGAAGATAGCGAGAATGGGGAAGATGCTAACCCATTTTTCCTTGGGATTAGTTTTCTCAAGCCAAGGCTTCTCAACTTCTCCAGGTCTCACTCTTCTAGAGTGAAAGTATCGATTTCGGTCATCGATTTGAGTTCCAGAATCGCACTCTGAGGAAGGACTTGCGTACTCGGGGATACTGAACATGCCTGCATTACCGGCAGAGCCTGAGCCACGTCCATTGTCGATACTTTGACGATATCCAGTTGCCATTGCATCCGTGTGACTGCCATTGGAGTCCATAGATCTTCGTGGCATATCGGTTGGGCCTGGGCCATCATGGCCGCCATAGCTACTTTTTCGATACGGGTTGCTCATGATAACGAGAGTGTTGAATATGCAAAGACTCGAAGAATGAATGAAAATGAAGAGGTAAAATCCAAAAAACCCAAGTGGACGAAAGCGACTGGCTTTGTCAAAAGGGAACAGACAGTGTCCTGATAAAGTTCAACGTCAGGGGTATCCGAGGCGCAGAAACTAGTCGGGAACAAAGGTGAGGAATGATCGGCTACTCCAGCATGAAGCATAGTTCAATGCAGATTTTTTCCTCTTTACTAGAGTCCTCCGAGTGAGATCATGACGCCGGTTTCCAAGGCCACCAAATCGAGAAGTCGCACGGATGATGAAGCTTAGAGGCGGAAAGACTAAGCCATGACGAGTAAGACATGACAAGTATAGACTTGGTAATCTTTTGCTGCGATGCTGAACTGAGCCTAGTATTGAGATGCTCGATGAAGTAAGAAAGAGGCTGATGAAAAGGCTTCTTGGCAAGACAACGATTGCCCAGATCGGATGGATTGTGTATAAGTTGAACGGATTAGGTAGGTATAGAGAGGTGCGAATCATGTATGCACTGTACATATCGATACTGTCCTGGCTTCTAAGGACTTAGCTCCATAAGCTACCGTCACAACATTCCATCGTCCTCCATCATCTACCTCCATTGGTTGCAGTATTATCGTCTCCATCCCGATTTCGCTCTCGCAGTTGTCAATAATACACTTTTTGAACAGAACTAACAGAAACCTTCTCTTTGATCTCATGTCATTCAGGTACGAGCCTCCCTGACTGCCAAGAGAGCTCACCAAGTCTCCAAACACAAAACACCAGTTTCTTGGAGCTAATCTTGGTTCATGCAGCTGCAAATACATTTACAATGTTTTCACCAGATGGCTATTTTTATGTTGATGCTTATAGGCCACGTCAACCTGGAACTACCCGTCTCTCCCGTCTTCCTGTATAGGATCGCTCTAACGAGCACCTTGAAACGGCAGTAGATAGATAGACAGGAACTTCTTGCACACTACCGTGGCCGAGGCCAAGGAATAGTAGCCACGCCCCCTCCCGCTTTCGAAAAGTTCCCAACTCTGTTTCCGCTTAGCCACACCTTTCGGCAATCAGAACCACCAAGCGATCCAAATGGACCCCTAATATACCCCCGTGCCCTCTCTCTATACGTTTGCTATCTCAGGCATTCAAGGAGCCTGTTACTCTGATAGAAAGTGATTGTATACTGAGAATCAGGAGCTGAAAGCCGGCTCTCTCTTGGCCTTTTGTGTTGGTTTCCTCGGGGAGCAACTCGGAAACACATGCTGATATTGGTGTCGTTTATGCCTTCGTTGAGGGTGCCACAACACCAAAGGATAATAGAGTTTCTGGCATCAAGGGTCATGCTTTTCCTGTCTATGCCTGCTTTCAAAAGGCTGGCCTGCTTGGATCCAGAGAAAGTATTACAAGGCTAAAATATGTAATCAGTATCCCGGGAAAACGGTGTAAGGCCATTCTTTTCCGTGCCGCAGGGCTATCATGTCTGCAACAGTCTTACATCTTTTCTGCCAGTGTTGGGGTCGGTTCGTCCCCGACAGCACATCATGATTGTTCATGGCAAACCACCCTCTCTTCCACAGCAAACGCCAATCTTCCATACGCGCGTACTTGGCAAAAAGAGAATATCCATACTTGAGACTAGCGCCACAAGAGAGGCTTTCCTTTTTGAGAAGAAACAGCTCCGGATTAGGCTGAGTGGGTGAGTTGAGAATGAGGTCTAGAGAGGCCTCGCCTTGTTCCACAGCTGGTAAAATTGAACCAGAAAGATTTTTACAGATGATAGTGGTTTAATGGATAATGATCTGACACGCTAGGGAGAGTACTGGCTTTCCTACGAGCTTACGCGGTGCTACAACGATGAACGTGGTTTATACCCTTGAGCTCAGGAAATACGAGCTTCTCCCCAAACGCCGTTGGGTTTGCCATCAAACCAGAACTATGGATATGTTAAAGCTAACTGCCATCAGTTCTTACTCTCTGACAATCTCACCATTCTGGGATGAACAACAGCGACACGTGCGAGTGTTCTTGTACACAGGAGAACAAGTGCTGTTGATATCTCATCATGTTCAAGTGACTATGGAGTTGCATCATTGGACAAGATTGTGGCTCGTGCCTGGCTGTCAATTCCAATCCGGAGATCTGGACCCTTGAAATCCTTGCCACGCAGGTTCACTAACAGGGTTCAGGGTTCATGTTTTGGAAAATTCGCCGATCTGATGCATGGTACTCTGTACTTACCTTTGTATACCACACTACACCACAATGTTGTTCCACGAGCCCAGAAGCTTGGCTTTATTTGGGTTTGCTCGTGAGTTCTTGAACAGCTATGATTGGTGATGTTAGTTAGTACACCATTTTCTTGGCTCTGTTATCTCAGGCTTCTTGCGGGTGACGGGATATCCGTAAGGCATGTCTGAGCCTAGACAATGAGAGAAGACCCTTCGAGGCTTCGTTCCTCGAGTCGGGCAGTATTAAGCTCAGTTGAACGACTGCCTCCCCCAGTTTCGGTTTCTTTGTTTTCCCTTGTCATTCTCAAACATATTCCACTCATTCAACGTGTTGATCACACTCCTTTTCGTTGCATTCACTCATTCATTATAAACAATAGTATTGTTAGGCCTGACACAGGTTTGCATACTTGTTTTTTGTCTTGGATACTACAGTAAATAAGTCTCAAGTCGGGTCACATTCATTGGCGAGAGCTTTGGCCAAAACGCCAACGATTTTGTGGGTTGTCGAACTTCTTCCAGGTGACCCATCAGTTTTCAGAGCATCACATCTCATACCAGAACTTACGCAATGCTCATATTTCGAGCATTTGCTGGCATTGCTAGCATAGTAGCTTTGGTCGGGGCTGCTGAAACCAACCAACCTATGGACCTAGGCAGTGTACTCAGCAGACATCCCAAGCTTTCTACATATTACAAGCTGATCAAGGTACGTCCTATATATTCAACATAAGAAGGTATGATATTAATATGTTTTGTTTAGAAATTTCCTGATATCCTGATGCAACTACCCAGTTACGACGGTGTCACTGTAAGTTGAGTGCTGCCCCTAGGTTGTGGCCCGTTCTTATGAGAATCGATCTGACATTTACCCAGATTGTTGCGCCTTCCAATGACGCTTTTGAACAAATTCCATACTCACCTCTTTCTAAAATCTGGGATCCAAATGATGCCAAGACTACCACCCCTATCCTCCAGTATCATATACTGCAGGGCACTATAAGCACCATGAAGCTCAAGGCAGGCCCTGCTTACGTCAAGCCTACACTCCTTATGGATCCAAAATGGAGCAATGTTACTGCTGGACAGAACATTCTCATCAACAAGCAGCCCGATGATGTCGTCTTCAGCACGAGATATGGGAACCGCGCTACGGTCATCAACTACGACATCAAGTTTCAAGGCGGCCTCATTCAGATTGTGGACAGTCTCCTGATCCCACCTTCTGGTGTGCTTCAAGTTCTTATGGCAAGCAAAGTTGAGTCGTTCCTTGGTGGACTTTTCAAAGCTGGCCTTATGCCTGATCTCGCTGATCGCAAAGACGTCACTGTCTTTGCTCCAAGAGATCAGGCCATGGAGAGCGTTGGAAGCACACTAAAATCCATGTCACGCAAGGAGCTGGCTCGCGTCATGGGCTACCATATAGTGCCTGGAAAAGTTCTAGTCTCGACTGATCTTGAGAATGCCACGTCTCTCAAGACATTGGAGGGCGAGGATACTTATATCCGTCAGATTGGCAACGAGAAGTTCATCAACTCGGCCAAGATCATAACAACCGACATCCTCATATCCAATGGCATACTGCACATTATTTCGAATGTCAACAATCCAAAGGATGCTGACGCTGTACCTAACCCTACTCTATGGGCTCAGAAGCCTGTCTTTAAGTCTGCTGGGGCTGACGACGTCTTCCATTCAGCCATTCCATGCACTTCAGATTGTCCAGTGACAAATACGCCAGTATCTACACCAGTTGAGAATAACGTGGCCACTACACCATGGTTCAACACAAGGTCGAGTACTGGGGAGGCAGCTGCGCGGGCCACAGCTCAAATTGCTCGTGCTGCGCTGGGAATCGTAGGTGTGGGTGCAGGTATGGCATTTCTATAGAAGAAAAGGTTTGGCGTGTTGTTCTGTTCTCTACGTTTCATTGAATTTGGTGATGTTGTCATCTGTTGTATATGAGGTTGCGTACATGAGCCAATACCCCTACAGTCTTTACAGATAATATTAATCTATCACTTCCTTGACGTTATACGATACTCGTTCAAAAAGGGAAGTCTTGCGTGCATTTGCTTTTTCTCGTAACCATGTCACCAGTATTAGACTTTTAGTTGTGTGACACAAACTTCTCATTAGTCTACCCCTGCCTCAGTTACTACACAGTTGACATGTAAAACCTAGCGCTTAGAACTCATGACTGAGCTGCATCAGTATCCCGTATCCAGCAGCATCCGTCTTCCCCTTGTCATACCATTCGCTGTGATACGATTGTAGCCCTTGTCTCACCTGCAATCATAAACGATGACTTACCATTTCCAGTACAACAGCACGACCCAAACGTCAAAGCGCAAGAGGCTCTAGGGTAGGGACCCTGTCAGTGACAACCAAGGAGAACCCAGTTAGCTCGTGGGGTAGACAAGGTGAAAATGCCTGAAAAGTGTTGCCGGTAGGGATCAGAAGCGCGGTAGATGGCCTTAATTGGCAAGCACCGATAGTGCGTGGTGGTGAATCAGGTGAATAGAGTGGCCAGTACACTGAACGGGAAAGATTTTTAACAAAGCCGCTTCATTCTGACAGCTTGAAACTAGAGGCATAAACTCTCTTACTAGTGATTGTTAGTTAGCAGTCGACAGACGGTGTCTTATGGACTAGCCTTAGATCGTAGGTTGCCAAGGTGAGGTTGACTGACAGCATGCTCGAAGTGAAAAACCTTGCACTCACGATCCATCTACTCTAGGAAAAGACACACAAGTGGCAATTATTTAGATAAGAGAAACCCTGCAAACCTGATTTGACTGTTTTATGAATAAAGCCCATGCTCTGGCGACCGAGTCAGGGACACAACCAATGGAGTCCACACACTTATAACACTCATCCCACGATACGACAAGTAGTTAGGCCGAAACAACAAACGTAATAGACCCGCTCTATAGTCTGGCTTGTAATATGCTGTCAAGACGAACCAACAAAACAGCTTGGTTTGGCCAGCTGGGGTGCTTAGCCAAAGAGAGCGGCGGAAACACAGATAACATGAATCAGGATTGTAGGTTGTAGTTCGCTAAAGACATCAGAAGGACGACTCTCACGGTGCTAACACCCGTCCTAGGAAGTGCCGAGTAGACAGAGGCACAGACGAGTCCCTTCTGAGAATGAGCAGAGGGGTGGCATCTCTCTCACCCTTCCGCCTATGCGCCAAGTCGCCTCATCGCATGGTTGCTACTCTGGCTTCCGTTGTACCCAATGATCTATCCTCCAGTCAGCTTTGCCTGTCGCTTCTGACAGTTTTCCTCCAGGAGTCCACTGGCTGACCATACTGTGCCGTGCTGTGCTCGGCTGAACTGGGCCATGCTGGCCTCATGCCTCCCCTCCATCAATTCCACACTACAGGCAATGCAAACTGCGCAACCTATACAAGCATTCGACCGCCATCCATCGGCTGAAGCGTCTCTCTTTGCCCGTTTCCCGGGTCACAACTTCAATCCCGGAAAGGAGAGCGTAAAAATAAGTTGAAGTGGACATGATGCCACATCCTGACCACTCCTCGATCAACACCGGACTCCTTGCCTCTACCACCACGCGAAGTCGATTTTCAAGTCATGAGTTCTAGGTGACAGAATGGTACATGCTATTTCTGGTAGTTGGTCCTGGCCCAAGAAGATGGGCCCTCGTTGCCCCAAAGACGTTGAATATGGCTAGATTGGCAGAGTGAATCTAGGAGAAGTTGCGACAAGTGAGCGTTGATAAGAAGTACAACAACATCTAGCTGTGAGGAGGAGAGGGCGGCCCATCTGGCTGAGGAGGAGGAACGCGTGGGCCTCCTGGAGGTGTCGGCGGAGGATCCGGGGTCTGCATCCCTAAAGATAGGATATACTGAGCTGTACCATGAGTGCAGGTATAGACATAAGTGTAGTTTTGAGATATCATGGATGTGAGAGAGAATTGCTGGAATTGCTATTCGAAAGAAATCGAGAGTATAGGGCAAATATACCCCTGGGTTTTCTTGTTAAAGTGGGAAGAGCGCTTGATCGACTCAGCCCAAGACCGAAGTTTATCTTAGTCTGAATCATTGTTGCCCCCATCATCTCCATCACTTGATGCGGCACTGGCTTCCTAATGGAGTTCACTGTTCATCCATTAAGATGGCATGATGTGTACCTTGTCGAACAACTAACTCCCGATACCCACGTTTCTTAGCATGATCAGCTGAGCAAGGTGCGATTATGCACGGTAACTGTATCCGTTGCCGCGGTCCTGGACCAGGCTTTGAAATTCATCTTAGCGGATCACTATTATCGTAGTTGGTGATGCACGTATTCAACCCACATGGCAGCCAAACTAACAAACTAGGGAATTTAAAGAGAGGGTGAAGGCCTCCCACCCGAGAATATTCCGAGCAGTTGAGTAAACTTTCGGACCGATGGGCGTAAGTAGAGGAGAAACGCTAACGAGGCAGCGGTACGGGTATGGATATCGGGATTGGCATGGGTACGATACCCTCATCGGCGATTTCAGCCTCGACTAGAGTGAACGTTCATGCTATTGAGTGAGATCCATGAATGGCAGCGTCAAAACAATAAGGAAATTTCCGGAAACGTTCCATGGTGACATACGTGGATGATAATGCATATACCCTACTTCTGGCAGTCTAGAATATCGTGCAAGCTGGAACCGACTGTTGCAATGGCTAATTGAAAATAATCGCATCAAGCCAAAAGAGCTGTCAGCCCCTCGGTGCCACAGCAATACAGGGTTCTGGCATTGCTGAAGATGTGACCGGAACAATGATTAGACAGTTCAGAACAGCAATGTTACACAGTTGAGCCATGGATCTTCGGAAGCACAACCGACTTGGACCCTGCACCGCGTGCGTCTTCCATGCAACTGGAATCTAGACTTAAAATGGCTTCGAAGTCTCACCCTCCTCCTTCCCTCTCCTGCTTGGACTTCATATGCATCAGATGTCCCGAAACAAGACAGGATCCGTAGGAGGGTGGTATATGCCTCGTACCATGCCATGCTGGCTGGCCATGCGAAGATCCTAAAGTGGTAATGCGATAAGGGAGTCTGAGGTCCGCGTATGAGCGGAAACGTGGTCTGTCGGGCCTCAGAATCGACTTGCGTCGTGATGTGTGTGTAATGATTGTTGTCCGACGAGAGGAGACTTGCTGGCCAAGTTTCTGTGCAGTCAATGAAACGCTGCATCGCACACTAACCCCAGTATCTTGTAGTCGGCTACTGTGCGAATTGATCACATGTAGCAGATTGTTTGGTGGATATACGATGTGTTGATGCAACGGCTAGGGGTAATGTATGGTTGAGCGCCGACGGCGGTCACAGTGACTTGATCGGTCAGCACGCATGGCGCATATGAGGATCTCTTCATGTCCATCCTGCCCATGGCTAGAGATTATGCCATACCCACCCAATCCATAACATGCATCCCATTAACGAAGAGCTAGCCAAATGTCGCGCAGCCTAAATCTAGACACTGCCGAATAATCCTCTGCTTTTCAGCTGATGTTCGTCGAATTATGCGTTGACAAGCAGGCTACGACTTGGCCTTCCGGGGCAGGGGAAGGGAGGTGTGCACCATGTCGTGGCAAAGAGTAGTGCAGGCTTGACAGCGGCCCCTCTTTAACGGTGGTCTAGACCCCTGCTGGTCAGTCCTTGGATCTTGCTTGCAGCGGCTATGTGATGGAATCGGGCCTCAGCCCTATAATAGAAGCCGGTCTGTTTGTTGGATGAAGAAACTAAGAGGGCAGTGTCCTGCGTCTGGGACAAGGGTAGTCAAGCGTGCGTGATCATCGGCCTCATCGCTTCTAGTGATTCAATGTCTTGTTATGTTTCGGTGCAAAGAAAAGTTTTGTTTCGAGTAAGGTCTCGGAAAGGGACTTGAGTCTTGCCAAGACGAATCTGGCTAAACGACATGGGAGCCCTCGCGTGTCCCCACACAAGGTCCCGTTGGTTATGAGTGGGGGAAATGTTACAAATGGTATGTATGTAGATGAGATCTAGTGATCCCTGAATGGCCGGCATGCGTTCGGGGAGAAGTATTAGCTGCAGCTCTAGCAGCATAATATTCAATGCCTATCCCACCTGCCGGGCACCCATGTAACATAACGACATGTTGAGGATTCATGGGAAGACAAAAACGTTGGGGTGTATTCCTTACTCGCCCCGTCCATCTGCCACAGCACATACGGAGTCATGGCTGATGCGCCGGAAACAAAGCGTGCGGTATCACGTAAAATGGCCATAGCCTTGGACATTGACACAATTGGAATTAGTTGATTGGCAGGTGGTTGGTTATATCGTAACGGAGGGGGGTAGCTCCGAATTGAAACAAGGGTATGATAGGCCAGAGTCCGAGAAGTGTTTGACGAAAGCACTGCCACGGAGTTTTGCTAGTAGGTGCATCTTGATCTAACCCAACTGTCAGCGCACCAATCGTTAGAAGATTTACAAGTAACCAACTCGTTTTCTTTTTCTTCCTGGGAGCTAATTAAAACTTGGGGCCCGTGCCTCTGTCCGTTTTCCTCGCCTCATAACGCCAAACGAAACCAATTAATTACACCATGTTTAAGCTTGACAGCTTATCGGGGATTGTGTCCCCGGCTGCGGGATCGACTTCGGTCGCCATGGCTATCGATGCTACCGCGACGTCTCGTATCGTGGTCATCGTGTCGGCCAGCCCCTTTCCGTCTTGGGGATCTTGAGCGCGACCTAGATGAGTGAGAATTGTTGGAGCGACTGCGATACCGGCCGACCCCACTACGTGAAGCAGGTCTGGCGGACGACCTGGAAGGTGAGCGAGATCCTGGGCGATATACATCCGATCTAGGACCGTACCGGCTTCCCGGAGACATACGACGGCGGCCTCTTCCACCACTCATGCCATTATTTCCTCCCATACCCGCACCAGGCGGACCCCCACGTCCTCCTGAAAAGGGCACTCTGGGATCAATATTGGCCCCACGGCGAGCTGTTGGAGGAGCAGGAGAAAGCTTGCGTCGAGGCAGCACTATAGAAACGTTGATCGCTGAACCGTCGACTTGTGCCTCATGCATATGAGCAATGGCAGCTTCAGCATCTTCCTCGTAATCATAAAGTATGTATGCTGTACCGCGATTGGTTCCAACTGTATATTGTGGTTAGGTGTTATTCCAACAGCAAGGTTTCGGTGACCTTACAAGTTCTATTGATTGGCAGATCAAGGTCCTTGATGCGTCCAAACTGCCCAAAAATCTCGTAAAGATGTTGCTCGTTGATATTCTTAGATAATCGCTCCACAACAATCTATTGGCAATAGTTTAGCTTATAAGATCAGAGACCACGAGGAGGAGGCATACCTTTGTGCTTCTGGTGGGTGGAGAACCGCTTCTGCCTCTATCACTACGCTCACGACCTCGGCTGCGACTGCGGCTCGGGCTTCGACTTCGACTATTGCTGCGGCTGCGGCTCCTGTAGCGGCCGTTTCGACGCTGGGGCGACGGAGAGCGGGCGGGTGAGCGCGAATCGTGTTGGTTGCGGCGCTGGGGGGATCGGGAACCCTGAGAGCGTGGAGTAGGAGAGCGCGTGCGCGACCTGTAACGGGCGCGGGATGGCGATGGCGATGGCGATGGCATTTGGAAGTTGGGATACGATGACCTCAGTGCAGGATATTTTATCGCGTGTTGAAGTAGAAAGAATTAACTTGAAACGCGGCAAGTGGCGGTTGACTGGTAGCTATGTTTCAACAGCTAGAGACTTCTTTGACAGGTAATCACGTGATATCCAGTAACGCGTCATATCAGACCCAGCTTCACTTACACTACAAACCAACTTGAACCATTATTTCCTATACTTAAGTCCTCAAACTCTTTCAAAATAGAATTTTCAATACTGATATAGCCTAAAAGATCCATATGCACAAAATTTCTGATTATTCCATTTGCCTGTAACTATCCTCCTCACTTGGGTTGATGAACGAACAACCCGTGATACTGCATTGTCGATCACTGCAGAACTAGGCTGATTTGGTACTATATCTACATAGATATACTGTAGCCTCCAATCTTGCGAGTCTGCGAGGGCACTTTGATAGCCCGACGGAAATAATCAACCTCGGTAACCTGGAACCTCCCATCCTTGCGCTATGTCGTATCATCTACAAGCATGGAACCATAACCACGTGTATGAGCCACGCCCCCCAGGGCTGGTCTGCTGCATCAAGGATCTTGTGGGATGTCTGACCCTAGTTCATATCCTTAGGGCTCGGCTGCGTGTTCTCAAAACCCCATGTTGACGTTCCCCTTTGTTTGACCATCCTTGGTCTTATTCGATGGAGCCTGTCCTCACTTGAATCGCTCTACGCGGTGTTTGAGAGCCTGCGTGCTACCTGTTATCATATTAGTCTTCTCTTTAGTCACGTCAAACTCGATACAACGCTTTGACTTACGTTCCCAGAAGTTCTCTTGACGCAGTTGAACAGGTTCTGGCTGCGCAAGCCCAGCGATTCTCGCCTCTTGAGCTGCATGATGTTCATCCTGGTTCGCCACGTTGCCATCTTCGGCTCTGCGCAGCGCGCCCCTGGCTTGATGACGCCCTTCAAGGCCTCTGGCGACAAAGATGGATGTGATGATAATGAGGAACAAAGCAACCGTGCCTACTATAAGGCCGATGTCGATACTGCCCATAGTTCGTGGGCGGGGGGGTTGAACCTCTGACTGAGAGGACACAACAGGGGCTTCAGTAGCCGTGATGCGTATTCTTGAGGTATAAGACGTTCTTGGTTCAAGAAAGGAACTTATTGGTAGATGGAATGCGGCTCAAGTAAAGCAATGGCGAAGTAGTCAAGAGATGGATTGAAGGGTAGCAAAGTGTTTTATAGACCAAAAAGGAGGGTTTCGCAACTCTTCAACAAGTGAAGTGAACTGTTCATAGCAGCGATCAATTTTGATGTTAATCCAACAACAAGTGAACAAGTTCTATTCAATCAACGGGTCAATGATGAATATCAGTTTGTTGCGTGGTTCAAGCAAACGCTGCCAGGTGCTGCCAGGTGACTAAAACCACAGTAAAACCAAAGCATAAACACATATTGATTGAAGACGTCGTTTGATTATATGTATATTCAGTAGTTTTAGTATCTCATCTAAATGGTTCAAACCCTGTCGGGATAAACATGAATAACCTAAGTTCCCACGGCTGTTTTCGTCAAACTAAACTACCTCTACAGCATATATCTACAGCATATATCTACAACCCAAAGACTGCCATATGACATGTCTATAGTTAACATACCTAGTATGGCGAAATCTTGCCTCATCCAAGTCAACTTCTGCTTGAATTTCCGTCAGGGACACCTGCCCCAAGCGGCATCTACATAACGTTCATCAACAGTCTGTGCTTGGGCATAAGGGGTGGCAACTGTGCGCTTGGCAGGCTCCCTTCTCAAGGATAACGTCCACAGGAAATATAGAGGTGTTACTTGGTAAAGGGTTTGTGAGTCCATATCAACTTATTCTTGACACAGACTATCTGTTAAGCGCAAGTCAAGCGGAGGAGTCCTTCTCATATTACTAAAGACGGCCAATGAGACCGTTCTTGGCTCATCCGACAGACAAAGGCAGGCTGCCAGCCACCAACTTCACTGCAGCCATAGCTCCTAGCGATTGTTTTAGATTCGCGATTACGAAAGATATCAGTCTTGGGTTGGTATAAGGAGCTGGTATTGTTACGTCCTCTGGCTTATATACGAAGTTCACATCATCCCAAACAAATCCCAAAAACAACGCCTTAGTCTTGTTGATGCAAATCACTACACCCCATATAACTTAACTAGTTTCGGCTCTGCGAGGCGTTCAAAGTCTCACTGGTAGTCTTCGCAGCGTTGCGAGGTCGTGACTCAAGGTTAGCATCACCAAGCCTTGAAGTCCTCAAAAACGGGAATGAGAGCCTCAGAGAGGAGATCGCATCCGTAGTAGAACAGGACGTTTCCGTTCCTGTTGAAGGAACCATCAGCCTTCTCGGAAAACCAAGTCAGGTTCTCGTCCTCCTCGCTGACAGTCCAGGCCAGGCTGGGGTGATCCTTCTTGATGGAAGCAAAGGCGTCCTCGATCTCACTGAGAGAAGAAACCTTACGGACGTTGTCTCCTCGGCGGATGAGAGTTCCAGCACCGGAGTCGGTAGAGAGTTCCTTCTGGAGATCCATGTGTACAGAGAGGTTCCACCCTCGGAGCAACCACTGTCATCTTGGTTTGGTTCGTTTAATATCGGCGGCTACAAGTGTCGTAAGACAAGTTTATGAGTATCACAATGTTAAGTGCATATTTAAGAAGTTATTATCATGTGATTGAACTTATGCTGGTAAGAAAACTCGTAGGCATTCCATCAGAAGGCAGAGGAGAAAACCGTTGTTACCTCCAACCACGCCCATGACCGACCTTGTCTTGCCAATGATTCCAAGAGCCCAGCAGGCTGATTCTCGAGCCGATACGAACCGCGCAACAAGACAAAACCCGAATCTGCCGATAAGAATGCGTAGAAAGGTATACATCTCAATTAATCGGGGAACGCCTAATCTCATACATCCAGCCCTGGCCAGCGTTGCAGGAGTGATGCTGAGACTGCGTCTTCAGCAGAAAACCCCAAGAGCAAAGTCGCCAGCACAACATGACCGGGACCCAACGTGAACAAACTCCACCGTGCTCAAATCATATTCCATTGCAATAATGGCTAGTTGCCCAAAAAAAAGTTCCATAACCCATGGTCGTAGCTTGCGATTATTCGAATTCGTCATGTCCCAAGCGTGTGCATCGTGAGGACCAAGTACCCAAAGCTTTTATTAGGTCTTTAGCGGGTAGCCACAACTGGAGAGAGTTAGCTGCATGTCTATGGTTTTGGAGATTTGGGAGGAGATCGTACCAGAGGGGACAATGATGATGACCAGCAGAATAATGATACCAATAATCAGGCACATGCGCATCTTCATGTCCTTCCACCACATCTGCTTTCGGACCCTGTTGGCTCCTCGGCGGAAACCTTGTGCTGAAACAGCCAAGTTGTCGGTCTTATCCTGAAGAGCATCGAGTCGCTCACCACGTTGAGATACCTTGTTGATATTGTCACGCATCACACCCACGGTGTCGTCGATTTGCTGGCGATCATGTCAGTAAATATTCAACTTGCTAAGCATCGTAAAGTCTGGTTTCTATGGCGCATGTGGTTGGGAGGCATTTTGACATGGAGAGCTAAATGACGCTTGGCCTAGAATGACAGAAGCTGACAGAATGAGGATGAACCAGAATAAGCAGCGCTCAGCCCGGTTGCCTGCAAAATAACCATACAATGCTGTGTGCCAGATTGCAACAAGTATTACATGGTTTTTTTTGGGGCCAAAGATTGATGCTCGTCACTCAAGAATAACCATCTCGTGTTTTGTTCGCGGGTTTCGGAAGGAGACGTCATCCGTCACCAATAACCTTTGCCGCCAGGTGTCACAACCCAAACCCGCCCAAAAACACCGGCGCATCAATAAAACCATTAGAAAAGCTACTTACAGCTTGCAGCGCCTGCGTCCTAGCATTGCCGCCGGCACCCTGCTGCTGCTGGGCTCCAGCCTGGCCGCTGGGGATATAGGGGTCGTAGGGGGCTTCCTGCTCAGGCATTTTGGCTGTGTTTTGTGAAGCTGTCGGAGCGCTAGAAAATAGCAATGGGTATCAATCGAAGAAGCGCGAAAAATGGACGATGGACGAGAAGAGGTTTCGAGATCAAGAAGTCGTTGTCGTTTCGTGCCGTGTTGTTGGGATATTGTATGCGAAAGAAGGAGGTTGGCGTAGCGAGAGGTTGGAAGAGGGAAGTTGATTATGAGACGTTGCGCTGGTTCAGGCGAAACGAGTAGTGACGGGAGTGAGTGACCAGGTTGCACGGAGACTGGTGGATGGGACTTGTGAAGGGAACCCAGGGACCCTACTGGGAAGGGCGGAGCTGGTCGGGGCTTGGTTTGGGGCGCTGCTTGGTGACGAGGCCCCCGAGAGGACCGGGCTTCAGACGTACTGAGCCTGAAATGGCTCCATCTGTGAGGTCGGGTGGCCAAGTATCTCTACTTTGATGGAGGGGTTTAAAGTCTCTAAATTATGAAAAATCGCCTACTCTGATATTTTTTTTTGGCTACCGCTAGCTAGCTCATGTGTAATTGTGGTGTTTGACGGTGATTGACAATCTATTTTTGGCATCTGTGAAACTTCAACACTTTATCTTGTTGTGGATGTCCTCTGGGGTTTCCGATTAATCTAAGTTGTTTCCACCGCATATCTCGGATACTGTAGTTCATTAACTGCCAAGCACATGGAAGCTGGGGAGTAAACGGATATACATTAGTTCTAACTACCCGGAGTTCCCTGAGTATCAGTACCTAACAAGGCTGACCATGAATTGGACGATATTCTCATGTGATGGTTTCTTTTAGCCAGCGACGGAGGGGTGTCGTATTCGTGTTGGATTACCAGCCACAACTAGCAATACAAAGCCGCCACGATCATGCAAACCATACCTTAACTTTAATGGGTCCAGTATCGTCATCAAACATTAAGCTTGTCCTGAAACAATTCAATACATTCAGACACATGGATAAGACGGTTTATATCAGAAATGCTCTAACGACCCTTACATTATTATTGTTAGATAAATCCCTAATCCTAGAGTAGCCTATAAGACCATATCGTTATCTGTGTTTCGCGACCATCATGAAACGACTGGATCTCTATTCAGAAGCAACATATCCTAAAGTACCTGCAATATAAGAGCATGGAAATTGCAGGAATTCTCAATGTTTGACAACAAGGTAGATACACCTTTGGGGCCATAGTCAGTGTAGCTGTGTAAAATGACAACCAACAATAACTACCCTATGCATGTCGCAACATCCTTCGATTATCTGTCATCCCGCAAAGCGATCACATAATAGTCGGAGCATACACATGACACATGTACACCTATGCTCAACTAATTTCACGTACTAAACCCATCCTAGACTGACTTGCAAAGTAACAAGGACTTCAATAATGCTATGGGGGAAAGATCACTTCAAAGGCTCTTTGTTCTCAAGTGAGTGTTTCAAAGACGTCAATAAGAAGCCACATTCAGTAAGCTTAAAAGGCTAAAACAGTGATATTGAGTGCCCAGATGTTGCTAAGCTCAGATGATGGCATTTAAACGTAGGATGAATTCGCAACTATTCCCGAGCTTCGAGGAGCTTTCAACGCCGCTGTGCCAATGTAACGGATCCTGAATGAAGGGTTAGTAACCCCCGATTTACACTGGGCTGTTCGGCTCCTGAGAGTCACATTCGGACAAGGTAAGAGAAATTCGGGCAAGGGTTCTGTTGATCATTCCCCATGACCAATGAATCTCTGCAGTTGTAAACCATAGTTGTGAAGATCTCGATCGTCAATAGCCGACCGATGCATAGCTAATCTCTATACATAGTCTGCTGCGCGCAAACCGTTTGTTAAGACCAAAGCCTTGGATGATAATATGCCAGTGTCCCGTTCGATTAAAACGCGATACCTGTCGTTTGTCCTTGACTTCTCATAAGAATTATATGTGTATGTCTGCTGTAGTATAGCCGCGACAAACGGATTATAACTGTGAGGTCGAATAGTACTCAACATTGGACGCTGTTTTTATTGCAAACGAAGTTCGAGACAGACATTTAGTGCGTTTCGATAGTGCATCCTATCTCGCTGTAGAAATGTTGAAGACAAGATTCGTTAGCATGCAATATGCTTGCAAAGCAGATCCATAGCTCCTGAGAGCATATGTACTGGTTGCAAGAGTTGAGAGGATGGCCCTGCCTCTATGTATTTAACTCGTGCGGAGAACATATATATGGATCAGATAACACTGCCGGATTAGTTTGATTAAAATTTCAAACAAACATCTCTAGCATAAGGCTGTTGTGACACTAAAATGGCACATTCTGTTGTCATCATGACGGAAAGGCGTCTGGGGGAACAAGCCCGTGGTAGAAAAATGGTCCCTTTTAAGAATGTCAGGAATCAAGAAATGATGGAAATCTCGATTTCAATTCGATTTACAAGGATGATTGACCAATCATACAGCCTGGACGATACTCCGGTCTGATGGTCCAACTGTACACCTGATATGCATGTTGTAGGTAACCTACTCAGTAGTTTTAGTAAACACATGCTCCTGGACCCTTGGTAGATTCACGTGAATTATGGGAAATCACAATGGGGAGCTAGATACATGCCATACAACACAAAATAACAATCCTTTTACTCGTCATTCACTCCTGGAGTCCCTCGGCCAATGTCATCAGCAAGCTAGGTTTCTTCTCGACTAGCTAACCCCTGTCGTCACCAGAAGTCAGAATCCAGCAATGTCAAAAAGATATCGCCAATTGCTCCCTATCCCTCAGTCTGAAAGTTCCTCTAATTCTCAGCCCTCTGGTTCCTCTGCAACTCCTCGGTCACCTGGCGAAGAGCCTCTCAAACGACAACGAATCAACACGCAATTAGCATGCAATTCGTGCCGTAAGAGGAAGATTCGCGTCAGTCTCTTTCACTCATTCACACCCTATCTTGCTTCTGTTGACTTGAGTCGCTTGAGTAGTGCAATGGCAAAAAGCCGATCTGCGAGGCCTGTCATCGACGCGGCGAGAAAGAGCCATGTGTCTATGCCGAGACCAAGAGTGCACCGCCGACAAGCAAAGAAACCGAACAGATACTGGAATTGTTTGAGACTATAAAGACAGGACCCGAAGCCCAAGCCATTGATATACTATGAGTCTTGCGAGGCCACGCCGACCTTGATACGGCTTTTTCGATAATCCAGTCGCGGATAGCACAGCCTGTTCGCGGCCAAAGGCGCGGCACTGCTCCTGAGCAGACCCGGTATCTAGGCCTTGAGTCTGAACTCATGGCAAGACATTCTCTTGTTTTTCCAACACTTCAATCCCCGGAGTCCATCATTCTAAAGTCAGTGGGCTATAAAAGACAGACCTAACAATATTGTTTGGTTGTATACATCCTATTCTATAGCTGACACTGACCATCATTAGGAAACTCTTTAGCACCAGTAAAAAAGCAACGCCAAACGGCGATAACGACGCACAAATGTCGAATAACGAACCTAACCCATTCCCGGCGCATAATCCTACACACGCTCAGGTGCCTACCCTGACTCTCTGTGACGATCGGCTAAAGAAACTCAACATTGGCTTTTGGACATCAGTACCTATTCCCTCCGACCTGGCTGCAAAAGTTGTTTCACTGTACCTGGAGACAGATCATCCTCTTCTAGGCCCCTTTGACCCGGACCTGTTCTTGGCTGATCTTGTTGAATGTCGAACTAATTACTGCAGTGGTATGCTAGTCAGTGCAATCATGTACTGGGGTTGTGTAAGTGACTAAGTCTGGATTTGGCACTTGAATCTAGCCGCTGAGACGATGATAGCAAATGTACAGTGGCATTGACTCTGCTGTTGGGAAATATATACCCGAGTTTTGCGAAGAGACAGAAAAGCGGTGGTCGTCGGAAAAGATGACCGACTCGCTTTTGACACTTGCAGCGACAGAGCTGCTCGGTTTGGGGTATCTGGGCAATGGAAAGGACCATTACGTCTTGACATATGTATCAGAGGTCAACTCTATGGGCAGGCGTATGGGCCTTTTTGGTGTCGACTCAAGTGTTGCGATTGCAAAGGCAAAGCAGGTCAGTCCTGATATGCAAAGCGCAACATCGTATACTGCTTGGGGCACTTTCAACTGGATAGTGTAAGTTGGTATGGCAGGTCAGAACGGATCCATGGCGAAACTGACACACACAGACTCATGGCTTTGTTTTATCAGCAGCCAGGACTTTCATATCCTGAATATCCGCCTGCTATGCCAATACCGGGACATACATGGCATCACTCATCCGAGGGCAGCCCACAGTCTGCACGGCAAACGTTGCAAGAAACGTACATGGGAGACACATTTCCAGTTCTCTGTCGATTCTGGCGAATAATGCACGGGGTGACCCTGAAGTACTACCGTGACCAGCCCCATCCGCGCGAGAGTCTCAGCAGCCATATCACACTCGCATTTGCCGAATACAAGTATCGAGAGCTGATAGCCTGGGGAGAGACGTTGCCACCGTCCATGGTGCGTTCCGAGCAGAGTCCGCACCATGTTCTGGTCTTTCAGTACGTGAGAACCCAGTTGATGCATCTACAATGAAACCTTTTGTTTGGAGACTAACTTGACGGTAGTATTTGGTTTCACGTGGGCATTCTCAGTATTTTACGGCCTTTTACCGTTCGAGCAAGGGGTTCTCACAAACCATTACGACTGAAGACATTTCCTTGCAGACGAAGCTCGCCGGATGCTGCTTATAGGGTATCAGTGAATCAATTGAAACGCCTTGTGGTGGTATATCGTGAAAAGCACCCGTGCTCGTCTTACACGATGCTATGGCACACTGCTCTAATCCACGTTACGAACGCCATCCTCGGCGACACAAGAGACCCCGCCTGGCGCTTCTATTTATTTTATTGTGTCCAGTCCTACAGCAACTTACGGGGATCTTTTCGTTTTGCCGAAACCATTGGCCGAAGCATACTCTCCATGACCCTTCAGCAAGGCGACATATCAGCAGAGGAGGCGCGAAAACTGATGGAGCAATTTGAAGAAAATCGGCTGAGTAGTCCTTCGGATGATATACGAGCTACATTTATGGCTGACTTGAATCTCGCCATGACTGATCCCGAAGAGGCGTCCGTGGAAAGTTTGTCCGACAAGTTTGAGGACATTGCACTGTTTCGGGAGTTTACGAATGGAGGGGGTTCTAGTGCGGACGAGCCCATGGAGTCGGATGACAATGCATGGGATACGT